CAATGTTTCTAACTCTATCTCTCTCCCTTCCTCTCTGTAAAAAAATTTTTTTTAATCAATTTTATATATATATAAAATGAGTGTGCCTGTGGAATGGAGACAGCCTCATCATCGCTGGCCCCCACGGCAATGCCTGCGCCAGCAGGTGCCTCCATTTGCCAGGCACGGAATCTGCAGGTTGGAGCTAGGCCCATATAACATCTTTGGGCGACACACTGAGCCTTGGCCATGCCATCACCCCTCAAGGTCAAGTGTGGCAAGGCCTGGCCTGTTGGGCTGCAGGACCTGAGCATCGTCAGAGCCCAGCAGAGCCCTGAGAGCCTCAGTGGACACACAGCTTCTGCTACCTTATCCACCCACCCCCGTCCTCTGATCCCCAAACCCTATGGCTCACACACCACATGGTTTCCTGGATGGGGCGTACACCTACAAAAGGCCTCTGTTTTAGGCAGGAAGAGAAGACAATGTTTACTCCCTTGCCTTCAATTGTGTCTTTATTGGGGGGGAGAGAGGGGGAAGGTTGGTCATGTGCCAGTGTGCCTGTCTTCTGATTAGTTGCTCATTCTCTCATTTTCTCTCACTCCGTGCGGTTGATTTATTTAAAGGTGTGTCAGCAAGGGGCTCAAATGAGGAGCCGGCCTCCTCCTCCCTGCTGACGGCCGGCCGTGCCAATAATTCATTTTTTAGCTCATTAGCTAACAGGGGCTGTGAGCAGTGGGCCTCCGGGGGATTGGAATGAGGGGAGGTGATATACTGCCGGCTCCTCTGCTCTTGAACTGGCCTTCCTTGGGGGAGATTAAAGCGCAGCCAAGACAGGGGGTCCCGGAGGCGAGCCTGGGACATTGAGCTTCTGCATCATGTCTGCTTGGGGCGAATGGTTTTAACAGAATATTTGGTTTCAGCCAGAAAAGGCATCTTCGTTCGAGTGTCCACCTTTAACATGTTAACTATTGGTACAGAAACCAAAAAGAGAATGACAAAGAACTAGGGGCTTACATAGCAAACAGTGACCTTCTTTCGGCTCTGGAGGCTGGAAGTCCAAGGTCAAGGTGTCAGCAGGGTTGGTTTCTGGTGAGGCCTCTCCCTGGCTTGCAGATGGCGACCCCTTGCTGTGTTCTCACATGGTCTCTTCTCTGTGTGCACACAGAGAGACAGACAGACAGACAGACAGACAGACAAAGAGAAAGAGAGGTGTCCAGTGTCTCCCATAAAGCACCAGTCCTATCCGATTGGGTCCTACCCTCATGACTGCATTTAACCTTAATTACCCGCTACACACTCTACCTCCAAATGCATTACAATTGGGCAGCAGGGTGTCAACATTTGAATTGGGGAGGGAGCCTAATTCCATCCAAACTTCCAGGAAGACTTTAGACACCTCAGGGCTGTAGGCAGGGGCTGACCAGACTTGGCCCAAGAGATCCTAAGAGCCATGGGATATGTGAACCATCTGAGCACCCCTCACCCCAGTGCCTCAGGCCCTCCAGCCTCGGTCAAGGGGTGGCCCGTAAGACACGGATGGGTTTATCAAGGCCCCTAGCCAGGGCCCCCTCTCACCCTGCCAGGTACAGTGACCCTGGGAAGCTCATTGGTATAGACAACTGGGGTTTCGAGACCTAAGCACCCCGCAGGCGCTTCGGCCCCACCCTCCGTGTAGCCGGCACGTCTGTGTCACACACGCAGCACCCCAGAGGCGAGCTCTTACCTCCTTGACAGCAGCGTGACATTACAGATGTTCCTCTCTCCCATCACAACACCCTCCACAACTGCCCTGTGCGGAGTGACTGCTGTGGCCAGCACATCGTCCAGACACATGGCCTCACACCCACAGCCACTGTGCCTGCTGTAGACGTCCCTGCGCCCATTTTCCAGATGAAGAAATGCGGGCCGACGCGTTAGTGAAGCTGCAAACGTCTGCAGCACTGAGAGCAAAACAGACACACGAAGCCCATGGTCTCTAATGCTGATGCCATAACTATTTCCTCTCCCTGTGTGGTCTCTGCAAAAAGGACCCTGATTTCAGCTCCCCCTAGTGTGTTGGGGGTGGGGGAAGGCAACAAGTGCAGGAAAGGGGGTCTACATGATAGTAACAGTACCCAGAATTCCCACTGGCGTCCCCTGTCCCTGTGGGCTGGATTTCAGCTGCAGAAAAGAAGCACCCGGAAGGGCAGGGAGCCCAGTGGCCTGACCTCTCAGCTTTCTGTCTGCCTCTTGGTGTCTGAAAATACACGGAAACATCGCAGTCCTGTGGGATCCAGAAGTGGTATTAAAAGTTGCTTTCAGAGCACAAGAAGCTGTGCTGAAAAGCCGTGGTTCTGTGCAGTAATAAAAGCCACACCTGATCCGACCTGGGGGTGTCCTAGCGGAGGGTGAAGGGTGGGGGGCAGGGAGAGGCAGCCCACCCAGCGGCCACCTGGAGGCTCTGCACCTGCCTGGTCCCCTTGCAGTGCCCTCAGGCGTGCACGTGTCAGGCCTGTTCTGCAGGTGTGGGAGGTGCTGAAGCCCCTATCGGGAATGGTCACCCTGCCCCCCTCCCGTGAGGCCAACGCAGCCCCTCCAACACCCTGTCCCTTGCTCCGTACACACAGCATCAGAGCCCTTCTGGTAAAGGCGCCCCAGAGAGCCAGACTTTTCGGCCCCACAAAGCCCAGAACCGCCTTTCAGCAAGGACTTTTCAGAGCAGAGCGCAATTTAAACAGGATGCTCCTTCAGTCGGGGGTCGTAGAGGTGGGGTGATGGTCAACCCGGCACATGCCCCACCCGAGAGGACGCAGAAGCTGTGGGCTCACCCTCCTTCTCTGGGGCATTTGAATATCACAGAGAAAATGGAATCACTGTGGCCCGGACTACATTTCCGCGTTCTGCTCTCCGGTTCATCCCTGGGTGACTGGCAGTGAGGATTAAAACCGAGCGGAGCAGAATAAAACAGCTCTGATTTTAATGCCTACCCCAAATTAGAGTTAGCAAATTGGAACTTGAAGACCTGGACGGATCCTTCACCACTGTTGCTTTTCATCTCGTTCACGTCTTGCTCTTTCTCGTGGGTGATTTATGAAATGCATCAACATATGCTTAATACATTTTAAATAAGGTTCTTAAATAGCAGGAGCTCATGGCGTGGCTGCGGCGTCCGACTCTCGCCTGCACTGCTGTCCCAGGGATGTTGCCCCTGTGCTGGGGCCCGTGTTTTTAGCCCAAGTGGATATGCCGCGCCTGCCCCCCACACACACCCGGAGCCAGAGCTGTGTTTGCGGGCGCTGGGGCAGCTGCTCAACTGCAGCCCAGAGTTTGGCCTGGAGATCTCCGCACGGAAAGGGTCAGGGGTCACTGTGGGGTCACTCGCAGGGACCAGGAAGTGAAGCACAACTAATCCTGATTTACTGTGGAGGGATCTGTTTGCCTAAGTATTTAAAAGCAGATTAGGGCTCACCAGACACTAGACCGCCAGGAGCAGTGTCAACACAGGGAAAAGGTGTAAACAAGGCTCTTTTCCGTCCTTCGGAAGGAAAAAACGTCCTGGTAATGAGTTTTCTCCTGGAGAACTGGCCCTTGGTGCAGTCTTCCCCTCCCTACCCCTTCCCCCCCCCCCCCCCCCCCCCGGAGCTGGGCCTGGTTTCGGAGGGGTGGTGAGCGCTGTGCCTTTAAGGCAAGTCCCTGTGGGCAGTGCCAGCCACTCCTTGTCCACAGGGCTTTCCTTCTCTCCTGCCTCTCAGAAGCATCTGTCAGGATAGGATAGCGCCCCTTCCCCCTGCTCCCCTGACCCTTTTACCTGAGAGCTGCTTGCTTCTTTTTTTTTAATCCCTAACAGTGGTGCAAAGTGTTGAGAGTGGCTGAGCTATTTTCAATATTTCTTACGTCCCTTTTGGAGAAACTAAAACCACACGCCACCTGGTAGCCGCGGAATGCTGAGTCAGTGGCCAGGGTCCCGTCCTCTGGGTCCCCATAAACACACCTTGCTGTTGGTTTCCTCCTGTTTACCCTGTTCCCCGCCCCTTTTCTCCCAGCCCTCCTCCCCGGGGTCACAGGCCGTGTCCTGGCCCCTTTGGAGGAGGGGTGAGGGTTGTCATCACACCCACCCAGCTCCTGAAGCTCATTTTTCCAACTGGGCTATGGGGCTCCAGCTGCCCCTGTTACTGCAACCCCAAGGCTCCACCCCCTTCCCAACCTCTTCCCTCCTCTGCCCCCCAGCCCAGCTCTGGCCTTGGCAGCTGGTCCTGTCTCCTCGGCTGGGACCTATACATTCCCTCACCGGCTGGGCCCTATGCATTCCCTCACCGGAGGGGCCGGTGACCTGACGGCAGAGTTGCTCAGGGTGATGGGGCCACTGTGTCTTCTCTGACCCTCCCCGTTGGAGCCTCTGCCTTTCATACGGGGTCTGTAGCAGCAGGCTCTTCACAGGAAGGGTCCAGAGCCCCGGGAGACCTCACTCCCCTCCAGGATGGATGGGTTAAAGGCTGAAAGCAGGTCACACCCGGTTGGGGCTATCCTGCCCCAACTCCAGCCCAGCGTCCTCCATCCTGACTCACCGTTGTCCTTACGGGAGAAGGGACCTCCGTGCCAGTGACACCTGTCCTGCATTATGCCCGATGGGTCCTGGGCAGGAGCGGGGTTCCTCAGGGGCCCCAGCTCTGCAGTGAAAGCAAAGGAAATCAAGTGAGAGCTCAAGGCCGTGGACAGGGCAATACCAAGGTACCCTACACTAACACCTTAGCGTCAGAACCGCCTGCAGGGCTGGTTAAAACACCCTCCTCTGCGGTTCTGACTCATGGGGCCTGGAGACCTGCATTGCTACCAGGTCCCTCGGGGTGCCGATGCTGCTGGGGGATACCCCACTTTGTGAACCATCGGTGAACCTCTCCCCCGGGCCTCCCCACGCTGGCAAAGACACTTGTCGCCCATTGTCTTTCTTCCCCTTCCACCCTTCCTGGTGAGCAGGGTCCCGGGACAGGGGTGCGGCCTCAGTCGCCCTGCCTGACGGTGACCATGCCCGCCTCTTGCAGGGAGGAGAAGGAGCGGTGGATCCGGGCCAAGTATGAGCAGAAGCTCTTCCTGGCCCCGCTGCCCTGCACCGAGCTGTCCCTGGGCCAGCACCTGCTGCGGGCCACGGCCGACGAAGACCTGCGGACGGTCATCCTGCTGCTGGCGCACGGCTCCCGGGACGAGGTGAACGAGACCTGCGGGGAAGGCGACGGCCGCACGGCGCTGCACCTGGCCTGCCGGAAGGGGAACGTGGTCCTGGCGCAGCTCCTGATCTGGGTAGGTCGCCCGAGTCCCCGGCCAGTGGCGGAGGCACTGAGGGCACCGTGGGTGCCAGCCTGGGTGTGGGCAGCAGCAGGGACCCTGGGACTCCATGTGGAGACTCCTGCCGTGAGGGCTCACCTGTGTGAGGCCTCCTGATAAGGTGGGAGTGACGTCAGTGGATGTGCCATCCTCCGGTGGGGACTCTTTGTTCATCTTTTTAGGGTACCCTTTTGGGCCCAACATGGTGGGTGGGGGTCTCTCGTCTTTGTCCACACACACACACACACACACACACACACACACAAAAAAAAAAAAAAAAAAAAAAAAAAAAAAAAAAAAACCCTCCCATTATTTTTTAGGAGGTAGGGATAGACTATAAGGATAAAGTCTGAATGGTTTAGATGGTTTTCCCAGCACCAGACATTGGGGGTTTTCATTCACATAACACAAAAATGCTAGACCCTAAACTGAGAGGTTTGATATTGTAGGAGTTTGTCAAAGGGCTTTGTCTGGACTATTCTGATAATTTTTATTAGGGAAGATTATTTTTTTTTAATTCCCACCAAAGCGTTTGTCATGAAGCTGGAAGGGGGAGAGAATTAGATGCCCAGATATCAAAATCACTCAAATGTTCAGCTTCACTTGAACAATTGTGTGTCAATCATTTCGGGCTGCCCTAACAAAATACCACGGACTGGGGACTTCAACAACAGAAATTTATTTTCTCATACTCCCCAAAGCCAAAAGTCCCAGATCAAGGTGAGGGCCACGTTGGCAGATGCCTTTTCTCTCCATGTCTTTATGGGGCCTTTCCTCCGTGGGAACACATCCCTGGTGTCTCCTCCTCTTCTTAGGACACCAATCTTATTGGATTAGGGCCCCATCCATATGACCTCAATTACCTCTCTGAAGGCCCTGCCTCCAATATAGAGGCAACTTGGTTCTTGAACTTAATTTGTTCCAAAAGGCTGTTCGAGAAGCGATTTGTTCAAAAACCGAATCATTTTTTTCCCATTGAAAATAATGTAAATTCAATTAATCTGTTCCAGACCCCCAAATGATAGATTCCCTGTTGTAAATTTTCTTACATACAGTACGTGTTTCGTGTACTATTATATTTAGTCGGTAATTAAGCACTTCTCTTAAATTTATCCGACCACGCCCTCCTTGCCTCAAAGGACTCACTTTCAGCACTTGGTCCAGGGGTGGCTTTCAGATCAGCAAGCAGAGTCTGTGCTTGTCCATATATCTTTGCCCGGAAATGCTGTCACTGGCTAACTGCTCTTCCTGTATCTAAACAACAACGGTTTTTCTACCTTTTCATTGGCCTGTGATCATTGTTTCTCTCACACCCTTAGCAATGTCAGCACTCTCGATGGCCTCTTCATGTTCTGAAATTGTGCTAATTTGCAAGCAACAAAAGCAGTCTCTCCTTTGTTGCTTTTTGTCATGCTGAGGTATCAGCATAAAAGGGTTGCCAGGTCAAAAACCAAAGTTTGGTTGACTACCGAGACTTTTTTTTTTTTTTTTTTTTTTTTTTGTGAACAACTTGGTCAAGGATCGAATTGTTCAAGATGGGAGGGAAACCTTTGAGAAGAAAGGTTTGAGTGTAAGTCACATTCTGAAGTGCTGGGATTTAGGACTCCCACCATATGGACTTGCGGGAGTGGGGGGTGTGGGGAGAGACATCACGCAGTTCCATAACAGATTGCATACCATCTTTCCCTCCAAAAGTCCTTTTAATTGCAGCACTCCATGCTGACAAGATTCCTAAATACTGTTGGGAGTGGAAGTCAGTCAGTCAGTCCACCCTTTTATTAAAAAATATATGTGTTTCTAATTGATTTTATTTTATTACTTTTCATTTTTAGAGACAAGCATCAATCAGATGCCTCCCATATCAATGTCTCTCTCTCACACCCATGTTTCAGACGGGCAATTTTTGGTGCATAGGACTACACTCTAAACACCTGCGCCACCTGGCCAGGGCATCAGCCCGCCCATTTTCTTTCTTTCTTTATTTATTGATTTTAGAGAAAGGAAGCAAGAGGGAGAGAAACACTGAAATTGTTGTCTCACTTATTTATGCACTCACTGGTTGCCCTTTGTATGTGCCTGCCTGGGGATTGAATCTGCAGCCTTGGCGTGTCGGCCGGTGCTCTAACCCGCCGAGCCACGTGGCCAAGGCCGCCGTCCTTTTTCAAGAGCAAGAACTGCGGAAGCATTAGCGCAGTGAACCCAGTACCTCACTGTCCTCTCAGGCCCTCGTCATCAGAGACCCTGAGAAATGGTCAGTGTGAGATGCACATCACAGCACCGTGTACACCCGTGACAGTTTACAGAGTGCCTAGCAGCCCAGGGCAGAAACCCGAGCTCATTCTCGGGGAGGAATGCCGGATGGCTATAACCTGTCGTGCTTTTGCATAATTCTTAATGATGTGAGAAAACGGTCCCAGTACAGTGTTCAGCAAAGGGGAAAAAAAGATACGCATTATACTTGTGTAAGTTTTACCTCAATTACACATTCAGACTCAAAGGAAAACCATCTGAGGGAAATACGCGGAACTGTTAACCGAGATTATCCGTGGGTAGATCCTAGGCGATTTTTTTTTTTTTCTTAACGCTCTTTATGTATTAACTGTGTGTGACCCACAATGAAAACAAAATGCCTCTGAGATTTTAAAATGATCATTTTGTGTGTGTGTGTGTTTACAATTGGAAGGTCAAAACAGACATAGCAAAGCCAGAGCCACCCATGGCCCATTTCAGGTGCACCGAGGAGGGGCTTTGAGTTGCAAAAGCACATTCTTGCCTGAATGCATGCCCCTCGGAGCCAGGCTGTCCTCCAGCTCTGGGCAGGCAGTCCCCACTCTCGGCTGCCCTGGCCATCACTCCCCCCTCCCCCACCCCCCTCCCATGTCCCCGGACACTAACATGGCTCTGTTGCCTTCGCAGTACGGGGTGGACGTCATGGCCCGCGACGCGCACGGGAACACGGCGCTGGCCTACGCCCGGCAGGCCTCCAGCCAGGAGTGCATCGAGGTGCTGCTGCAATACGGCTGCCCCGACGAGCGCTTCGTGCTCATGGCCACCCCCAACCTGTCCCGGAAGAGCAATAACCGGAACAGCGGCAGCGGGCGGGTGCCCACCATCATCTGAGGGGCGTCAGTGCGCACGCCCCCCCCTACGCCTGTCACCCCTCCCTCTTCCTGGTGGGGTCACCTGCCACCCACCCACCCTCCCTCACCCGCAGTGAAATCACAGAACCTGGACAGCCCTCGCGGAGGCGAAGACGAGGCCCGGAGGCTACAGGATCGATCGTGTTTCCACAAACTCCCCCCACACGGCTACAGGAGCGACCGGCTGGCCTTGGTTGGTTGATGATAGCACATGGCGCGGGACCCCGGTCCCGTGGCCGACAGACAGAGCTCGGCACAAGGGGCAGGGATGGACAGAGGGGGAGGGGAGGCGGCAGCGAGGAGAGAGGAACTCTCCTTAACTGGCAGTTAAGCACATCAGTACATTTCACCTCTACCGAACGGAACACTTGCATCTATCTCATCTCTTCTCCGAGGAGCTTGACGGCATAAATCAGGAGCAAGCCGAGTTTGTCAGGTCTGAAGCCCCTATGATGGTATGTGTCAAATCAGTTGTAGCTAATCTGTCCCGGGAGAATGCTGGCTTCATTACACTTGTATAGTTGAGTTCTTGCAGCATTACCGCTGTTTAATAGAACATGATTAGTCATCACCGGGAAGAAAGCATATTAGCCGAGGAGGCAGTTACGCAGCACGCTCCGGTGATTGCCGCGATGTGATTGCAATACTCTTAGAAGCATCATATTATCCCAGACATGTTCTTCCGAGCCCTTGGAGCCCTCCTTTCTAAATTCACTGTCATAATTTAGTATCTGTTTAATTTTTCAGTCCAAAGAGAGGAAATCAGTTGCTGAGTAGCATTTGACTGCAGTCTCCTTGGTGCAAAAACAAAATGGGAAAAATAAATAAGAGCAACTCAGAAATTCCAGAGGAAATCACAAATTTCAGCTAACGGTGACATTTCGGGTGCATTTAAGGAAACTGGATAAATGCATAAGAAGCTATTCCACCCAACCCCTTCCAAACAGGAGAGATATTTTATGTCCTTTTGCCAAGGTGGGCGTCTTGGGTCTCCGTCACTCCCGGGCCACATTGCCCAAGTCACATAGGCTCCTGTGTTATGTCTCCAGATGAGATGTGTGGAAATGTATTGGAATAAAAGAAGTTCATAAATATGCATTGATTTTTGTACAGACGAATGGCACCTCTGTTAATTTATAAATGGAACTGGATGTGAACTAATAATGTGCAACTAGTTGAGATAAGCGGGTTACAGATCATTGTACATGGAGAGTGTTCGCAGCGGTAAACACTTCCATTAACGTGATATACAGCTTGGAAAAGGGGGCGCATCAGAATAAGATGGTAGTGCAATTTGCTTATTAAAATGGAGAGAAAGGGGAAGAAAAAAAAAAAAAAAGAAGGCCCGAGCCTATTAGAGAGGGGGGAGGGGGCACGTGAGCCCTCATTGTGGGAAGCGTGACTTAGATCTGAGACCGCTTTTGCTGGCCAGGGGGAGGGGCTGTGCCAGGCAGGACGTGATTTTTCCAAATGCCAGACCCGGTGCTTGGCAGTGGTAGACAGGGACTCCCACCAACGGTTCTGTGGCACGGACTGGTGGCCAGGCCATCCATTTCAGGACGGCCCCTTGAGTGTCATCCTGGGATCACAGGTGGCTTCAGCCACCTCCAGCGGGGTGGCTAAACACAGACCCGGACGCCCTGGGTTAAAAAGGAAAGGGGGTGGGGCCCAAGAGATGTGTGGAAAGGTATTGGAATAAAAGAAGGGAAGTTCATAAATAGGCATGGGTAGGCGGCAGTGTGGCAGGGGAAGAGGGTTGGCACGTGGAACGGGGCGCGGGCAGACCTAGGGGCGCGGGCGGACCTAGCACAGGACCGCATCCGCCCGGCAGCCTCGGGACGGTCCTCGCGCTCCTATAGTAAACCTTCTATTTTGTAAGAGGTTTTCCTCTTTCAGTTTAAAAAAAAAAAATTTAAAGTAGGTGGGGGGGAAAAAAATAAAGCTTTATACAGAAGTTATATGTAGGTCGGTGTTTCGTGGGCAAAGCTCTGTGGAACGTGGCAGTTTCCGGAAAGGGCAGGTGCAGACGGCAGGCCCGCGGTCCCTCCGCCGAGGTCGGTCGTGTGGAGTGTGAAGGGGAAGAGAAGTCGAGGCCTGTTTCTGAGGAAGCAGCACTGCCCTAGCCCAGCCCCACACAGCAGCCTCCCGCAGCCGCTAGCACAGACTGTATGTAGTGAGCACAGATAGAGTATAAATGAAATCCTTAAATTATTTCATCGTAGTGAGTTCCCACGGTGGGGATGCTTTATCACGGGGAAGCCTTCTTTTGAGAGGAAGGCGTTCCTTGCAAGGCTTCTCGTCGGGGTGTATATGAGTATGTACATATTACTATATGTGTTTATAATATAATATTTTCCCAAATGACCTGTTTTTTCCACAGCCTCTCACGGACCCGAATGCTAGATTGGTTCTCCCCCTCCCCTCCCTCCAGCACGGGGACCTCGCGATTCCTCCTTAGAAAACTCGGCCCCTCTTGTTCTGCTTTTCGGTGACGGTGGTGGGTCCAGCCTGCTTCCTTGAGTTTGGGCGACAGAGGAAAGGCATTCGTGGGTCCCCAGGGTTTTGTTTCCCGGCCCAGGGGACTGGCAGCTAATGTTTGTGTCTCGGTATCAGACTAGAAGCCCTTTGCCGACAGCGATGTTGACCCGTCTGAAAGCTTCACTAACCCCCTGGCTGGTGTCAGGAAGAACCAGTTTGGGACGGACCTGAGTTTCCATTGTTCGTTTCTTTGTGTGTTCCATGCAATTACCATGACGTGAGAATCCATACACCCTTCCTGCTCAGAACTCACGTTTTCCCTTGGAGGGGAAGCCACCCGCTGGAGAAGGGCAGGTGGCCGCGTGTGAGGGTGGCCGTGGTGGCCGCGCTGGGTTCCTGCAGAGGAAGTAGCCTTGATTCTGACCCGGTGTGGGTGGGCCCCGAGGATCGGGGTGGACAGATGGTTTCCGAAGCCCAGAACCCTAGTCATGGTGCCCTCTCCTCCCAGGAGGTGAGCGGTCTGAGGGTGAGTGAGTGGCATGCTCCCAGGGGTGCAGTTTCCTGTCATCTGGGGAGCACACACTGTGTGTGATCATCGCCAACAGCGGGGCTGCAGGGCGCAGAGAGGGCAGCTCTTCCTGACCTGCCTGGGGCTGGAGTCCCAGGTCAGCACCTCCTTGCGGGGCCCTGAGTCCGGCAATGCAGGACCTCAGCGCCTTCCGCCCCTCTCCCGGCGTTGCGTCTGGCCCGATGAGTCCGTGTGGACGGGCCTCTGCCACCCAGTGTAGGCCCCGGTCTGTCCCAGTGTAGAGAGTCCTCGTGTGTTCAGGGTCAGGCCCCATATGTGCAAAGACGCTGTCACCCACCTCATAAGAGAAAAACACACCAGCGAGAAAACCAGCCCAGGGTCAGGCCGGCAGGGGTCACCGGCTTTGCTGTCACACCTGTGCAGCCTCGGGCGCGCCTCCAGCTTCTTGCACTCTCTCCTTGTCTGTGGCACTGGGGTGGCCTTGCAGGGCGTGGTGCCGCCAAGCCAGGGCTGGGTGCTCAAAGATGGGTGTGTTTGTTAAGCACTGAGAGGCGGGTAGGACCAAAGCCAGAGCACAGGCCCGGAGAGCTGCCCACACTGGCGCCCTGTCCTCGGGTGTTGATGATGCGCCTGTACCCCCTCTGTCTGAGCCGCTGAGCCCGGAGCTGCTCTGAGGCCCCTGCCCCCGAAGGCCCTCTCCTCAGGGAGGAGCCCAAACTGCCCGGTTACCATCTCGGCAGCCCCACGGGCCAATGTATCCTCCGTCTCTTCCATCCGGGGTTGGTTTTCCAGAGGCAAAGCAAGGGCGGAGCCTTGCCTCCTGCCACTCATAGCGCTGCCTTAGGCCCAAGGTGACCCCTCGGTCCCCTGCTCCTCGTTGTGTGGACAGGCCCCTCCCTCCAGCTGCCGCCTCTGGGCACACTCCTGTCTGGTCCTCGCTTCCTGGTCCTTCTACCTCCTCTGAGCGCTGGAGCCTGCGGAGGGCACCCTGGCTGGCAGGCAGCTCCAGGCTCTGCCGTCCTCGCCGTCTCCTCTCCCTCACTGGGCACACCTCCCGGGGCTGCCTTCCCGTCCTTCACTTGTCTGGTGCCTGCACCTGGCGATCGCATCTTCCCCCTCGAGTTGCCACCAGGTCCTGTCCATCCACCCACACCCCTCCCCCCCAGTTTCGCTCATGGATTGACATGGGTCCCCATGGCTCCAACTCGGCCAGCCCTTTCTCCTTGCATTTAGAATGTTCTGGAAACAAGGAGGACGCCCACGTTCCCACCTAGGGAGGCTCAGAAGCCTGGCAACATGTAGCTGCTCTAAGGATATGATGGGGTCCCGGAATCGGAAGCAGATCCATTACCTCTGCGAGCTGCTTCCCCCCCCCCCATCTCTGTTCTATCTCTGTCACATGCACACACACACACACACACACACACACACACACACACACGCCGTACCCACAAGGCCGGTGCGACTTTTCTAGAACTCCCCTGGGTTGTGCATATGTCCTTCAAGCACACACATGGAAAGGCAGCGGGAGGGAGTCAGATAGAAGGAGCGGAAAGCGCACACCTTGCTTCTGCAGGAATTACAGCTTGTTTCTGACCCCTCCTCCGGTGTGGCCAGGCTTTGCGCCTTGTGGGCCGTGTGTTGAAGTGGTTTTCACCCCCGTCCTTCACCAAAACACCAGATCGGGGCCTTTGGCATCAATTGTTGCATTTTCGCCCTCGGCCATTGCAGCATGTCTTTCCCGTCTGCACTTCCGCGTACTCTCCTCGGGAAGCTGTGGGTCTGGTGTGGACGCAGGGGAGCCAGGCCGGGGCCCAGGTGTGCTGCCCCCGGGCTGGGCCCGCCACCCACCTGGCTGCCGCGGGGCGGGTCTGCCCTCTCTGCCCTGTGTCCTCCTGTCCTGGGGGCCTGCCTTTTAGTCCGTGTGCCCGACTCCTTCCCAGAGAGCGTGGGGAGCCCTGAGGGTGACACAGCCGTCCCTGCCAGGAAGCAGGCCCTGAGCCCAGCGTGCCGCTGCCTCAGCCACTCCAGATGGTGCCACCCAGGGTCAGTGCGGCCTGTCGGACCCCTTACCTCGCCCCCCACGAGGAGAAAACAACAATTCACACATCATTATTTCAACAACACGTGCTCTTCCCCTTAGAGAAGAAATGCTGTCCTTCAGTCGTTTTTTAAATAAGACCCATGGATTCCCTCTTTAATTTTGGGCGTCTGCTGCTCTTTTGAAAAAAGATAGATTGACACTTTCTTGTCCCAGTTTGAGTTTTTCAGTTTGGGTCCAAGTTGAGATTAAGGGACATTTCATCAGTCAAGGATTCTGTAAAATCAGATATCTGTCTAAGATCCGTGGTTTTTAGATCTCCCCGGTCCTAGAAGTATCTCAGTTCCACCAGCGGCCATAGATTGGAAAACCTGTCCCCACCTCTCTTCCGTGAGGAGCTGCTCCTTTGCTCTGGGCTCTGGGGTTTTGCCTGGTGGGTAAAACGCTCTTTTCTGCCGCCCTGGTCCCATCCGAAGGGCTTTGGTGCAGGCTGGGCGGGGGGGGGGGGGGGGGGGGGGGCGGTGTGTGCCGCAGAGCCCGCCCTGGCACCGGGGCTGCGGGCGTCGGGTGCGCTGCCTGGTTAGACGGGCACCCTCGGGCCTCTAGGCAGGTGTGTGTGCAAGAGAGGTCGGTGTGCGTGTGCGAGAGGTCAGCTCAGGGCCAGTTTTCCAGTGTGGCCTGGCATGTGGCTCCTCCAGGGAGTGGAGATCAAGCCATGTGAGTGGGCCGATCTGGAATTCTGTCGGTGGGCGGTGTAGGGCCATGGTCTCGAGATGCAGGTGAAAGAGGGAGCCAGACAAGGTGCTGGGGACTCTCCCAGAGGAACAAGCCCCCGTACCACCCCAGCCGTCGGGAACAGCTGCCCCGGAATCAAACTGCCCTCCTCTCCCAAGCCAGCCAGTGTGCGGCGGCTGGGAGGCTGGGTCTGCGCTGGTTCCAGAGCTCTTGGAAAAGGAGCGCTCACACCCCTCAAAGCTCCCTCCGGGAGTGGTGGTTCATGTAAATTAGAGAAGTTGGGGCGCAGTGCGGACTTCCTGGGTCTCTCCCCTCCGCCCCCCCTCCCGCCTCGGTCATCACACCCGTGCATAGAAATCCCCAGGGATGGGCTCCCCACCTGACATCCCAGAGTCACCGGGCGATGTCTGTCCGGCCTGTGTCCTTGGGAGTGGGCGGTCAGAGGATGGGCCCAGGGTGGGAGTCAGCTCCCCGGGAGCCCAGCCTGCCCCTCCCGTCCCCACCCCTGGGGGCCCGGCAGCCTTCTCCCTACTGACTTGGGGTGCACAGGCAGGCTGGAGTGAGGATTGGGGCCGTTCCCGTCGACAGGCAGCATACGTTAGAAACTGCTCTGGCACAGGCCACACGTCTTGATGTTAGAAACGATGCCTCTGGGACCGTGAAAAGCACCCAGTTTCTCGCCGCCCCACCCCCCACCCCCCCAACGGGTTTTTGTGTCTAATACGTATCAAGTAATGGAGGTGGCCACCCCATCCGGCCTGGGCATCTGCATGCTGAGGAGGGTGCCGTGTGCACATGATCCGAGGGAACGGGCTGGCTGCCACGGAAAGGGCCGGAGGAGTGGGCCACGCCAGCCACTGACACACCATGTGGCCCCAGACAGTCCCCACTCTGTGCCCGGGACTCTGCACTGGGTCCTCCTCCAGCCACAGGTGTGTTTCTGGACCCGGAGCCCCAGCAGGTCAAAGGTGACCATGAGAGGCGGCCTGGGAGGGAGGGAGGGGGCCTGCAGTGGCAGGGTGCCCTGTCTCTGTCAATAGCCGTGTACAGGAAGCGGAGGAGCAGCCCGGGGTCCCGAGGTGGCTGTCTTGGTTTCGGTTGTTTTTATATTACCTCATTCAGCAAGTTTATGTTTCACAATGCCTCAACGACGCTTTATTTATATTGTTTGTACTGTAATTAAAACCATCATTTCATTTTGCTTGTTGCTCCATATGATCTTGTTTTGATTAAATATGCCAGTTTGTATTTTCCTGCCTTGGGATTTTTGTGTCAGCTGTACAGTATTCTAAGGGGAAAACAGAGAAAAAGACAAAAGTGTAAAGTATGGAAGAGGTGGCTAGAGTAGAGGCCTCTTTCTAATAAAGAAAGACTATGGCTACTCCGCCTCCGCGCAGGGTTTTGTGGTTTCTTGGCGGGGAGGGCAGGTGGGGGCGGTGTTTGGTCACTCGTCATGAATGACCATTGGGTTTCTGTTCCCGCACGAGCACTGGGGGCTTGAGCTGCTGACAGGAGGGGTCACGCTTGGCCTGGCAGCCGCGATGAGGCGCTCGGAGCACACGGCCAATCATGGCCCGAGGGCAAAGATAAGTCACATCTCTTCAGACTTCTTCATTCAAAAGAAACTCCAAGAGGTCTGGAAGTTCCAGCTGCTTCTGCCCCTCTGATGGATGCTACTAATGCTAACCATTGATGGATGCTACTAATACTATTATTATTAATATCATGAATTTTTTTCTCAAAGTACAGGGAGGGAGGGGCAAAATAGTAAGTATTCAAAACACAGCTTATTGTTGTATTATTATTTTTTAAAATATATTTTATTGATTTTATACAGAGAGGAAGGGAGAGAGATAGAGTTAGAAACATCGATGAGAGAGAGTCATCGATCAGCTGCCTCTTGCACACCCCCTACTGGGGATATGACCGCAACCAAGGTTCATGCCCTTGACCGGAATCGAACCCGGGACCCTTCAGTCCCCAAGCCGACGCTCTATCCATTGAGCCAAACCGGTCCCGGCGGTATTATTATTTATTAACTAGAGGCCTAGTGCACAAAATTCATGCACTGGGGGGTTGTCCCTCAGCCTAGCCTGCACCCTCTCCAATCTGGGACTCCTTGGGGGATGTCCGACTGCCAGCCACAGGGATCGGGCCTAAACCGGCAGTCGGACATCCCTCTCACAATCCAGGACTGCTGACTCCCAACCACTCGCCTGCCTGATTGCCCCTAACCGTTTCTTCCTGCCAGCTTGATCACCCC